TCTTAAAGGATGGATTTGCTTGTTTTGATAGGAAATCCACAGGTAGCGAAAACAGCTGGAATCGTGTTGTGCAATAGCCCTGGTTATTTATAGGAAAGTGGGAGTATGTGGTTGGTGGTTCCAACCAATCAACTGAGTTTAACTATCCTTGTTCTGATTAGTTCTCCCAGAACAAGGCAGTTTTCAGGGAGCATGCTGTCCCCCTGACACCCCACTTTTTAGTCCGACGCTGTTCGGTATATGTTCGAAGCTTGTAGTCTATCTGGAATCGCTATGGGGGCGTTTTTTTCTCAACGACAATGTTTTCCTTAGAAGCCTCTTCAAATGTTCCCCATGGGGTTGGTGCTCCCAGTTATCGTCTCGACAGATTGAACGTGTTCAGTTAGCATCAATTAGCAATGGTGGATTTATTTGCGGTAGTTTGGAGCATCCCGTGATGTATAGTCGGTTCGTATGACCACACCAATCTGAATCTGATTTCCACAGTGTCCATTTGTCATGAGTGTGGCGTTATTAATCTATCGCCATGACCGGATCTCCAGAGTGAAATAAACGATTTCATGCTCCATGGTGCTTGTCGTTTTTCGTTGCTTATCTCCACCGGATGTTTTGGATGGAATAACGTCGTAAGGCATACGGATTTTTTTAAACATACGGAGTTTCTGATGGAGAGAGAGACCGTTGGAACAGTTCAAATTCAGGCATGCTCGATAGTTTAACAGGAGAGTCTCCAGTATCTCCTTTGTTGTCCCCTCCTTTTTTGTCTTATCTTTTGCCGTTTTTGTGACCAATTTCTGGATTCACAACCGAAGCCGTAATGCAAAAGCTGGAGAAAGAGGCACTACCAAAAATCACACCAAAACTTTGGCTCCGTTACGTTGATGACACATTCGTCATCTTGAAGAAGTCGGAACTGGAAAGAATACACAACATCATCAATAACACATTCAATGGCATCAAGTTCATAATGGAGATGGAGAAGGATAAACAACTGGCCTTTTTGGACATTTTGATCATCAGAACGCCATCAGGAAATCTGGAGACAACGGTCTATCGCAAAGCAACGCATACGGATCAAATTCTAAACTTGAAAAGTAATCATCCACACGGCCACAAAAGATGCTGTGTTAGAACCTTGCTCGAAAGAATTCAAACACACTGCAGCACCGACATACTCAAGAAGAAAGAAGAGAGATATCTCCTCAGAGTATTTGCTCGCAACGGCTACACCCGCAACTTCATTAAAAGAACTTTATCCCAAAGAAATAACAGACGAAGAATCGGGAACAAGAACTACCCTGCCGTACATCAAGGACGTTTCGGAAATGACGGCAAGACTGCTCAGATCATATGGACTCCAAGTCGCCCACAAACCTACCGCCTGTCTAAGGAGACCTCTGTCAAAACCAAAAGGAAGAACAATGGAGAAGGACAAGAGCAGTGTTATCTAGAAAATAAATTACAGGAACTGCTCGAAACACTATAACGGACAAACTGGGAGAAAACTCGCAAGGATCCGTGAACACCAAGTGGCAGTCAGGAGACATAGCCCACTATCGTTGATTTCCTTCCACGAAGATCAAGAAGGACATCAGTTTGACTTCGCTTCAGTGAAAATTATCCACCAAACCTGGTCAAAACACGCCAGAGAATTTCTCTAACCTTGGCACTCTTCAATCAACTCGATCAACAGGCTCGTTGAACTGGATCGCGTGCACACACCCATGCAACTCAAGGATCAAATGACGCAACAAAAAGGTCACGGCGAAATCTGAGAATGGACCGAAACCACAATCAGGACGGATGGACGACCACCTCCCCTACCAACCTCGCCCCCACGCACCAGTTTAACGACGAACCCAGTCGAACACAATGAGAACAAGGGACAACGAACGGACACAAGTATAAGATTGCCACTTCACAAGCACTGATGATGTCACCTCGGCTGGCAATGAAACGTTTGCAAACAAATTGCCAAGCTCGGCGAACAGATAAAATATAATTCAGTTCACCCGAGCTACGAGGACCGATTTTCAATACATTGAATATCTCGGTTTGAGAAAAAAGGAGTGTCGTAGAGCTACACATGTAATGACATTCGAACTCCACTTGTTCTTGTGCTAAACATACCTCGTATGCCCTCTTGTTGTTGTAAGAGATGATCGAAGTTCCACTTGGGTTGATTTATGTGAAAATCATAAGCAATCGCGTTTTGGAATCCCTGAACGACAGACATGCCAACCGGTATTCCGCGTTTGATATTTTAGCTCAATTCACTGTGGCAAACATTAGCGCTGACAGCGGTGACTATTGCGTGTGTTCTTGGTGTCCTAGATTCGAACATAGAGTATCTGGTGAA